AAAATTCCCTAGCTCCTCGGGATCCGCCTGGAGGGACCGGGTCAAGTGTGGGATGGGTGGGCAAGGTCTCACGTAATACAAAACACACATCAGCTAAGCGGAGCCCCGCCCACAGAGGGCGTGGCGTGCGTCGAAATGAATTGTACCGAAGACCAAGATTTCGATTTCAGTGACAAAACGACCTCGAAACTGGGCCAAAAAGTGGGTAAGGTGTGCATTGGTAAGTCACATCGAATTAGGGAGACCCACCCCCGGTGGGCGGGGCGTTCTCCAAAAAAGCAGTGCTTTATGAAAAATTTCATAACTCGGTTGGGAGAAAGCCTACAGAGCAGAAAACAATTGGTGTAAGGGAGCAATGTCTAAGGTGTTTCCTGCATACATGACGTGGGCGGAGGCCCGCCCAGAATGGGCGGGGCGCGCTCTGAAGTGTACAGCATTTTCTACAAGCCCTCATAATTCGGGTCGGGGAAGTCCTAAAGAGCCGGAAAAAGGTGGATAGAGGTGTATGGAGGAGTGGAGGCCAGCTATCAATGGTGGGCGGGGCTTGACCAAAGTGGGCGGAGTTTGCGACGAAAATTTATAACTCGGCTCCATGAAGCTCCGGAGGCTGGGGAAAAGGTGGATAGAGGTGGGTGGAGGAGTGGAGGTTAATTGTCATTGGTGGGCGGGGCCTGACCAAAGTGGGCGGAGTTTGCGACGAAAATTTATAACTCGGCTCCATGAAGCTCCGGAGGCTGGGGAAAAGGTGGATAGAGGTGGGTGGAGGAGTGGAGGTTAATTGTCATTGGTGGGCGGGGCCTGACCAAAGTGGGCGGAGTTTGCGACGAAAATATAAAACTCGGCTCCAAGAAGTCCCGGAGGCTGGGGAAAAGGTGGATGGAGGTGGGTGGGGGAAGTGGAGGCCAGCTGTCATCGGTGGGCGGAGCTTGACCAAAGTGGGTGGAGTTTGCGACGAAAATTCAGAACTCTGTTCCAGAAGGTCCCGGAGAGTGGGGAAAAAAGAAGATATAGTTGGGTGGGAAAGTGGAGGTCAAAGGCCAGTGGTAGGCGGGGCTTGGCCAAAGTGGGCGGAGTTTGCGACGAAAATTCATGACTTGGCTCCAAGAAGTCCCTGAGGCCGCGGAAAAGGTGGATGGAGGTGGGTGGAGGAGTGGAGGCCAGCTGTCAATGGTGGGAGGGACATGACCAAAGTGGGCGGAGTTTGCGACGAAAATTCATAACTCGGCCCCAAGAAGTCCAGGAGGCTGGGAAAAAGGGAGTAGAGGTCGGCGAAGGAAAGGAGGTCAAATGCTATTAGTGGGTAGAGCACGCACCTAAGTGGGCGGAGTTTGCCAAAAGTGTCGTAAATTTGGTTCCAAGAGGTCCCAGAGACCGGTGAAAAAGGGGGTAGAGGTCGGCGAAAAGAAGGGAGCCAAATGCTATTGGTCGGCAGGGCACGCGAGAAAAATAGGATAATGGTTGACGAAGAAAGAGCGCATAGAATTTAGCGGAGAATTCAGATATTCGTATTGTATCAAGCCAAATTTGAAATTTTTCGTCGCACCATCAAAATTCGCCACAGATCTGTGTTGCGCGCGCAATGCGTGCGGCGCCAACTGGTAAATAAAATTAACGTAACAATAATATATGATTAAGAAAAATACAATATAATGAATGACATGTAAATAGTGGAGAAATAATTGGAACCAACAAAAAATTTGTAAATAAACCTAAAGCAGACGTTGGGTAACTAGTTTCCGAAAAGGATCAAAACTTTCAGGTAAACCTCTGCTTGAAGGCAGCGATTACGATAGACTCTAAAGGATTCATAGAGACGTGGGAGTGCTCTAAAATGCCGGTGCGAAAAAGCAGAAAAATTCATCAAGGATAACGCAAAGTAGTACTCCCTCAATTGCCGGTTCATTTTCGATCATGGATGAGCGGAGACAGAAGTTGCTCGAACGTGTGAACCCCGATAGCCGTCGATTATTCCAGCAAGCATAGTGTTTCGTTTGAAAAGGCAATACAAATGCAAGTTGGAGGATACGGCCGCTGAAAGTGAAGTGATCTTCCAGAATGACAAGCTACCAGCAAGCAGCTCGCCCAAGTTACCAAGTGAACATAATCGCGTAAACGCTCTCGGGTGGAGTGCTTCTGAAGTCCTGCTCAGCAGGCATTGCACCTTTGGTCGTGAATACGCTACACTTCCCTTCCATGGCAGCCAAGTTCCTGGCGCATATACTCTCCCGACCTGGCCCCTCCTTATCGTAATCGCTTCCTTTAGCGATTTTATTTGAAATGCTCGATGAAAAAAAAAGTGTACTCTCGGCCTTATGTTTCGTCCGGGAGTAAATATCTTGGCAATTCTCGCACACGTCCGATAATCTCTCACAGAAAAAGTTTCTGTTTAAATCAATGATATCTTAAACTACGAAGGAATTTATTGTAAAGCACCAATGGATTTTTGGATTTCCTTCTCTTTCAAGTATGGACAGTCCAAAGATTTTGCTGCGATTGGCACTATTTGGTATTTTGGCATAGTCATAGCCATTAAGCCTAGTGATCAACTTTCTGGTAAAATCATTTTGAACTTCCCCGAGCGCGTTGATGAGTGATTGGTTTCAAGAAGGCGTTTCCATATTCTAATATAGGACGATTACCCTAATTTCCGGTGTATAAGCCCGCGCCGATTTCACGTAAAACCACCCCCGCTCGCGCAGTGTAACTTTGTACACCTTAGAAACCACCGCAAATTTGCCTATAGAGGTAAGTCGATGCCCTGATCACGAAAATGACTTTCATTTCAGCGCTGGCGCCATCTGGCGCCAGTTGGCGCCACCTTGTCACGACCCTTGTTTTCGTCAAAATCGGTGTAAACTTCAGTATAGGGGTTATTTGGGACCCTGATTACGAATATGACATTCATTTAGGCGCTGGCGCTGGGTGGGGGGGGGGGGGGGGGGCGCTGGCGCTGTTTGACGCCTATTTTCTGCTCGTCTGCGCTCTCCAACCGAGACATGTGCACTAAACAACGTTAACGCCAAAAACGAATGTCATATTCGTAATCAGGGTCCCAAATAACCCCTATACTGAAGTTTACACCGATTTTGGCGAAAACAAGGGTCGTGACAAGGTGGCGCCAACTGGCGCCAGATGCCGCCACCGCTAAAAACGAATGTCGTTTTCGTGATCAGCATATCGAATTACCCCTATGGGCATGTTACGGTTGACTCTAGATGTACTCAAGTACACTGCACCAGTGGAGGTGTTTTTACATGATACTAGCGGGGGCTTATACACCGGAAAATAGGGTAATTCTAGTACTTGCGAAGGAGGGTAGCAGGATCCCTATAGTTTGAGCCTCTGAAATACTGCAATTTCCACTGGAGTCTGATTAGCAGGGTGAATATCGGTTGAGAATTCTCAACAGCTTGTCGAGGATTTTCGCCTGGATCAAGTAACGCTCTCCTCGCGCGACATTCACACTCGCAATGCGCGAGCCATCTGTGCCCTCCGCGCGCACGTTAACTCTCGGCATGACTATCCCCCTCTTGCTACAGTACTAGAAACCATGGTCGAGGAATTCATCGACCGTTATTCACTCTGCTCATTGCTGATCATGTTAGAATGGTCACTCTCAGGTAAGATTCCGAGTGGTGAAGTCAATCAGAAATCTTATCACCGTTGAAATAGCTGGGGTCTGAAGCTGAGAACCTGAATAAATTCAAGGGCATGAATCGCATATAATGTTTTTTATGGAAAACCGTACATTGGACCACTGACAATGAGAATAATGAGCATACTGAATGGCAGACTAACAACGAAATAATGCATCTCATGAAGGGAAGCACTTCTGAATTCAGTAAAAATGAAATTTTCTCGAAACTCATCTTCTCCACTATGAGCAGAGATTCGAAATTAGCGAAACAAGTTTCATAAACGGGTGTTTGCGTTCGTGCCCGGACATTTGTGATTGCTATCAATGGGTACAATGATGTTGGCCGACACGATTTTCATGCATTTATTTTTGCCCTGAAAATTTTTTTCGAAGATAGCCTAAAGAGTTTTCTGCTTTAAACCTTTAGAGGCAGCGATACGATAAGTTCAAGAATGGTATAAAAAGAGACGTGTGGTCTCAATGTACGATCGTACGAAATAACTAGAAATTTCTCCGAAAAGCGAAGCTAAAAGGAGGTCGACTTTCGCTGGTCAAGGAAAAAGATGAGCGTATGGTTAGTGAAGCTGCAGTAACAAAAAAGCTCATCAAAATAATTGGCTCTGAACAAGGTCACGCGCACTGTACAGTGACAGTCTAGGGAGGCGCCATTTCAATATTACTATACCGCGAGTGAATCAAAATCAATTTCAACGCAGAGTTCTAAGAAATAATCTAAAGGACGAATCAAAAAGAGAAGAAATCAGGAAAGATGATGCGATAACGTACCAAAATAGAACGGCTTCTTATTCCACATATCGTAAAGACGTCCACAAACCACCATTAGACCAAACATCAAACTAGCTCCCTGGAAACTTCATCGAATGCCACACTTCTTGAGAATGTCTTTGAAGTCGTAAGGAAAACAAAAAGAGGAATTAGAAAAAGTTGAAAAAATTAAGTAAGGACGTGGAGATCAGTTTCTCTGAAGATATCTTGAAGTGTCTGTCAAGCTTTTGCAAAGAAAATTAATCGTTCGCCATACTTCGTATTGCACACGAAGCTGGACTTCAGGCATTATTTTTTGGTTTTAGAAATAAATATGACAAGAGGATTTGCAAAATCTACTTCACATTTATTTTGATACAACTGATACTTGGCATTTAGTTCATGGCAAGGCGAGCCTCTCGAGTAAGAGCTCAACTAACTTTTAAGCAGAATCTAATTTTCGGAAAAACGATTTTTTAGGAAACCTGTGAACTATGCAACTTTTTTGTAAGAATATGACTAACAAACCTGGGCAGGTCGGGACCAAGTGTAAGGATCCATCAAATTGACTTCTCGTAGGCCTGCACGGAGGTACTTCTCACGCCTCTCATATTCTTCTGGGCTAACCCAAGTAGACGAGGCCATCTGTGATAAACTATAGTGCGCAACCAGCAGAAAATCCACAAGCATGATAGACACATAAGGAAGACACTAAGAATCTAATTTATTCGCCACAACAGTCTCATTATAGTCTTACCGTAGCCGTATTTCGTCATCTCCAAAAACTGGACAGGAAAAAATTAATATACAAAGACATTTTTCAGCGGATACACTGCAATCCCGGGTGAAGCGACAACTTTCTTGATATAACACGTAGAAAGCCGCCTTTCAAATATTATCAGAGGTTTGTCCTTACGTTTCTTCCAACGACTACAAAAAAAGGTTCTGCCAAGCCGATTTTCACAAGGAACACACTGACGCCAGCGTGGGATACATATGTACCGCACTTCCTCTCGAAACAGACTCGTTCTACCTAGGTTATGCCTCAATTTCCACCTCGTATAGTGGTCCATATGCTCTAACGCCTACAGGAAGTAGTACGGATCAGATACAATAGTAAATTTGCTGATAATGAAATTATTGGTGAAGAAATCAGCACTGATGGAAAATTCGAAGACAGGTAGGTATACGCGCGCTGAACGGCGGTCGTCAATGTGTTGAATCGGCCTCCGATCCTATTCTTCAAAATTCACACTCGCCCTCTATTTTCGCCTGTGTGTGATGGAAGACGGATGGATTCAAGCTGGAAGGATTCCAAAAAGCATTGGCATTTGTACAGGTACCGTATACGGGGAGAATAGAAATTTATTGATTTACATGATCATGATGAAGAAATTTCATGGCACGTTAACCTTTTCGAATGAACACTGAACAATTCACAGGATAACTTTATCACGAATCCAGTCTACACTATATATAAAGTAGTTGCGACCATCCTAGCGATCGAACTTGGCAGGGAAGCGGCCCTCCTCAACGAGTTCGTCCCATTTCTCAACCCAGAAATTGGGGCAGAAGTCCTGAAAATGAATTTACCAATTATAATTGCTATGAACCATAAGAAATACATGAAATCAATACATCAAATCGCTGCTCCCATGGCGTCAAAGCAGAGAAAATCAAAACATGTGTGAATGGACAATTACAGTAATTCAACAAACAGGCAAAAAAAACTGTAGGATTCTCCTGCAATTTTCGAGCTCAAGTCGCTTCTCTTTCGGAGATATGAACTTGGAAATCCCCACCCCTTTTGTGAAGAGCCTTATGGACAGAACACTTCTATAACTTCATTCTCCCTTACACACTGTTACCATCAACCCTACAACCTTGATAACTCGTTGCGAGTCACTCCAGAGGTCCATAGGTCCATCCAGCACCCTTTTTGAATGCTATCAGTCACTGAGAGTGCTGCCATCTACCTAATCGCCCTACTTCTTCATGTGATTCTTGATGCAGCACTTGGAGTCGAAGCATACTTTGCAAACTTCTGCTTTTCGTGCAGTAGATACGTATCGATCGCACATCCAATCGCATAGATGTTACGTATCTACACTACTCTATAACGGCAAATGTATGATTCGACCCTTTCCATAATTCTCGGGGGTATCTCTGACGCAGCTCTTCGGATATCATCGACCCTCTGTGTCTTGCCAATCGGAGACGAATCCTCAAGTCCCGACAGGCGCTTCTTCCTTGACCAGCAAACACCGAAAAATAATGGACCCTATGGTGCAACTTATCTACTGGAAGAAGGAACACATGTCCGGTGGAGGCGAGCTGCAGCAGGTCTCAGAGATTGCGCGGGAATTTTTTCTGGAAGTCATGCGGTGGCGCGTGTAGCACCACCACATCCAGAAGGAATTCCACGTACTCCCGCACCTTCGCTCAAAACATTACAAGTCTAGTACAAAGTTGGCCTACAATCAGGCCATACGTCACTGCGCAATCTAACAGTCGGAATTCTTCTGTCGACTGAAGTATGGATCGACACGTTGAATTAAGGTGATAACTTTAAGGTGATTGGAAAACGAAAAATGGGTAATTGATTCCAATTTCTTCCTAGGTGCCCGTCAACAGCTGAGAGGACGACGTCGGGGTGCCCCAGCTCGGCTATGGAGGGTTATAGGAACAAGATTTAATCCCTAATATCTCCCCAAGTTGACCGTCCCCCCCCCCCTCTTTCGGAATTTACTCATCCCGATATTGAACTTCATGATGGCGCACGCTCAAACGTGTAAAGGGAAAAACAAAAATAATAAAGAATTAAGCCTAACTATTTGCTCGATATTCAACTTCAACTGACCTTGTATACGTTTTGGAAGAATTTGCAAGGCTTGTAGTCCTTACCCATCAACTCATTACAGCGGTGAAAGTCAACGTAATACGCAAAGCACTGACGCTGCTTGCGGACCTAAAACACAACAGTAGCCAAAAATTCACACGAACGAAACAGAAGAATAATAGTGTTTTCTGAGCACTACGTAAAGGAAAAATAATTAGGCCGAGACTTCTTCACACTTCAAGGCGTGGCCGCGGCGGACGAGCAGGCAGTGCTCCCGCTCATGCGAAAGGCTGCATCGAAGCCGTGCTCAAGGGAGAGGGGGAAGGCGGACCGTGCGGGAGCACTACCGACTCCTTCGCGCTCGCCGAGACCACGGGTGTGGTTCACTAGGACAGAAAGCGACTTTTTCGCGTTTCGCAGCGCGAAACATTTTTCGCTGCGGGAACCTCAGGTCCACCGCTGATCATCAGTGGACCTGAGGTTCCCGCAGCGAAAATGTTTCGCGCTGCGAAACGCGAAAAAGTCGCTTTCTGTCCTAGTGAACCACACCCGCGACCACGCTTCAAAGTGCGAAAAAAGTCACGGATCAAATAAGTATCATAACACTCAGAAAATAAAGTCAACATGTTGCTTACAAATGCCCACAACATCAAGATGTTACAAGCCTATGCCTATTTCCGATCACTACGTGTTCCCGATAATGTGCGACTGTGCACACAGCGCAAAAGGAAGGATCCGTTACACCGATGCGGTTGCTAGGACAGAAGGTCGACTTCGTCCGCTTTTCACAGCGCAGAACCTTTTTCGCTGCGAGAACCCTAGGTTCACTTCTAATCAGGATCACACCCTCCGTAACACAACAAACCAATAACTTTGCCATCAGTTTCAACAAGTATTCTACACTGTGGAGGCCCATATTGCAACGGACTAGCGACAATTCCTTGACACATTTTGTAAGATTGCAAGTTTTACCACTAAGGCGAAGCTCTGTGAAGAAATAAAGTTCATTATCACGGAGGGAATATGAGAGCCTGTCCTCAAATCAAGTTGGTATAAGCAGCAAAGGAGAATTACCCATTACCCTCTCCCTTATTTTACTTGCATTCTTTCGTTGAAACGGGGTTTCTTAATAGATGATGCGCGCTTTACCGAAGAAAACGAAATCTCAAAACAAACTACACATACCTGTGGGAAGCGTGCGTCATAAGGTGCAGCCCATAGGAGATCCTCTTCATTTTCTCTGTTAATCTCCTTATCCGGGGTGACGCAGAGCGGCTGAGTTCTCCTTCTGAAATCGGATTGACCATAAGATCCGGGAATAAATTAGACATAATCTTAAGGCTAAAGACTCATTCCGCATTTATTTCTTACTGAGAAAAGCTCAACAAACCTGGAATCTCTGGAGCCGTTCATACGTAGTTGGAGGCACTTTAACGTCAGCAGGCATTCTGAAAACTTTATATCAAATATGAAAGTGATCTGTGGTCAAATCTGTGGCGCATAGGATACGAGCAAAATCAGAATCGGTCACAATGCGCCAATCATTTCGCTGCGCACCGCAATTATCACAGGGTAAATGCAAGGAATCTACCGTCTTTCCACTTCCCCTAAAAAATCAACCATCCCAAGCCGTGAACATTATCTACCCGTGCATAATGGCATGGATCATTCAATGTAAGACACTTACACATCCACGACAGCACGCGCTTTCATTTTTTGGTCGCATGGGACGTAGGTGATTTTGTGAGCGCTCGCCTCACCTCATCTTCGTGAATTTTATGTTACAGATATGCATAAACATGAATTTCACAAAATAAGACGCTATCGCAATATACGGGGGCAGTGCGAAGGCAGTGCATTTGAAACTGCGTGAAACATGTCTTTTCTGTTAAAAATGGGACTAGCCCCAGGCGGGGGAAGAGAGACCCGAAATGCGCGAGCCATTTTCATGTTCTCCGGAGCTCCTGTCCCCTCTGGGGCTTGATCCTAAAGGACGCCCCCGTATATTGCGATAGCGCCCAAAACGACTTCAGCAAAGTTCAATGTGTAGAAGTTACCTAAGGAAATAACAGTAGGATTCAAAACGACGCCTAGGGGGAATGAAAACGCGACGTTTCATTCAATTCCACCGCAGTGGAAGTTAAAGCTATTTTGATATCAAATGTTTAATTAAAACACTTATCTTGCCATACAAAGAGCTTTGTCTTTACTTTTAGCAATTACTGAAATCACATGTTCATGGCATTGAGAAGAAAACAAGAAAAAACTAAATCAAAAATTTTCGTGTGATTCGGAATTTTTATCTGTTTAATTAAAACACTTATCTTGCCATACAGAGAGCTGTATTTACTTTTAGTACTTATTGCAATCATTTGTCTTCACTTTTAGCAATTACTGAAATCACATGTTCATGGCATTGAGAAGAAAACAAGAAAAAACTAAATCAAAAATTTCGTGTGATTCGGAAAACTTATCTAAAATAGAGCACATCTGAAGTTTCGGTGTCTGCCGTCACCAGTTACGCATTAGGCTCTAGGTAATTTGCTGATTTAGGAAATATCCAGAAAATTACGATATAAGCGACTAGTAGCTGGCAGTTCATCTGGGCCATCATCCCGATGGAACAGGAGGGGTGCCGAAATTCGCACCGAAACGATAGTACATGGCTCGGGTCTATTCCAGTTGGGAGGCATCATGATGCAGTTTCTCGGCGAACTAGTGTGAACTCGAACATTCCAGCTTTTCACGCATGTCAAGTGACTGCCCTCACCCCCACCCCTAGACTGGCTACACTCCCCCTGGCTCGGAGTTACCCTAGCTTTCTGGAAAAACTGCATCATGATGCCCCCCCCCTAACTGGAATAGACCCATAGCCCTATTTCCAACCCTAATTCAGATTTTATGAAATTCACTATAACAATGCGTGAACACTGTTGTAGAGGTCAACACTGCTTTAAATCGTACAGATGAAAACGAAAGAATAGCTAAAGGCGCTCGGAACCAAAGTAGAACAACGAAACTAAGGGGCGAAAAAGGATGAATCAAAGAAGGTATCAGCTGAGCGTCAGTGACGACCTTAACGTAACCACAATTTACGGAAAAACCCAAAAAACGTGGCAAACAGAAACTCCAGAAGAGCTGGAATTATATATGTTCAAAAATTAGTCCGTGAACGCGACATCATGTTCGAGACTTAAGGAAGAAGATAATGTAAAAACTTTGGCTTCTTGAAGGTTCTCTAGCACTTAAAACGTGACTGAGCAAGCACAGATTACCATAAAAGAACAGCTGAAACGTGTAGCATCCCTACTTGAAACCAGCAACCATAATCAAACAAATAATACAGAATAAACTTTAATAATATAACAACGGATGTTTTATGACCGTCCATCTCGTCCAATGCACTTTTGTACACCCTTCCGTCGGACACGCATCACGTGCAACAGTGTAGCTACGGACGAATGCTGGTGAAAGGCGGCTAATTGAGGGCAAGGCTAATTGTGAACAATTCCTGAGTCCTAAAGGTCACCTCCGATCAATTCGTTTTGAATGTTCCGTAAGGCCATAAGAAGCGCACAAATTCTTAGGTAGATACGCGTGCCTACGAACCCCAAAACAAAAATGCGCCTATTATCAATTTATCTAAACAAAACCAGTTATATAATTTACTATAATGAAACGGGCATTCTCTGCTTCGTCCCGCGCTGACAGGTGGCTCAAGTCCTAGAGTTCTCAGAGTCCCGTCCCCCCCGCCCGCCGAACCACAGCACCTGAAAACTGTACATGTTTTGACATGAAAAGAAGACCAGACCTTTCCTGGGTTGTCTTGAGTGTATGGTCTGTTTGCTATATACTTTCAGAGGGCAACAACCTTTGTAGACGCTCCCGCAAAATGAGTCCCACCTTGGGCTAAACGGTTCATAAGAAATACTATCCAATAGGGATAGTAGCAAAACTAGATGAGGCTCATTCGTCCAAACAGTCACAGATTTCACTGAAAGCAAGCGAGCTTCAGAACTGGTGCTACGTAACCCAAAATAAACCGACGTTGCCTGCTAGAATCTATCTTCGTCCCTACTAGAGAACCTCAATAGGATCCTTCCCACGCATACAAAGCGGTAAGTCCGGTAATACCTTTCTGAAATACTCCTTAACCTCGAAAATAGCAAAAATTCGTCAGTTGGAGTGAGAGGTAGAAATACACGGTGAGTCGGTGAAGCATATATTTCTCAAAAAATGGAATGGCCAGTTCACCAAATGCGACCCCTGCCCCTCCAAAATCGCAGCTGCGATTAATCTCGTTGGGAACTGTCCAGCGAGCGGTGCACACAAAAATGACTCGCTCACTTTTCCGTTTAGTCGAGAGTGCCATCTGGAAATTTCCTCCTCATTTTTTTACAGTTCTTTTTTTGAAGCGCTTCGAAGGAAAAATAGTTATTAATTTTATTTCTTGTTACTGCTTATTTATTTATCTATTTCTCGCCTATTTATTATTAATAGAACATAAAAAGTTGTGCTGGAAGTTGAGCGGGATTAACTTCCACGAGTTCCACAAGTTTCGACCTGTCAGCTGCGACTTATATTATAATGCCAACAATTTCTTAATTATTATACCGACATGAATTTGGTTATTTTTGTGTATTCGTAACAAATACTCAGTTTAGAATATCGAAAAGAGCGACAAACGTCTGTATAGAATCATCGTTATCACTTTATCGATATGGAAACAGATCAATGATCAATCAATAACTTGGAAGTTAGTAGTTGCTTTTATTTTGTTATAGTGTTTATTATCGTTTAGAAAGGGAAGCACTGATGTCATACGCTGTAAATCAATCGCAGAGCCCGCAGCATACAACAGCCCGGAGAGGCGGGCAACAAAACGTTCCTTGTAGCGTTAACCGCCCCCTGGACTTTGCATCAGTAACGCGAGTTCGAATCTCGCCGGAACCTGCACTTTTGCAAATGCCTTAGTGATAAGGAATCCGCGACTTGAAAGCGTAGTTTGCGCCATGGAAGCGAAATCCTCGAGAATCGCTAGAACTGGGCTCAGCATTTTGAGCTTGCTTCTCGCAGCATTTAATATCCTCTAGACTAATTCTTTTGATGGTATTTCTGTTATATATTTGTATCATTAACCTACCGTGAAACAAACTCCCCTATTTCTCGAATTAACCAAACATAGGAACAGCCAATTAGGGAAGAAAATCTCTTGAACCAAACGGGAAAGGCGCAATTCTTCGGGACTGTCAAAGTCAAATGCATGGAGGAGTGGGAAGCGTAATACGACATCACGGACAACTCGCCCAAATTAGGGCGGTTACTCCCGCTGATGACAACTTAGTAAAAGCAATTGGGTGGGACAAGATCTACATAGGAGAGACTAATTCGTCTAGATCCACGATGAATCACATCGTTGAGACGTTCTCATCTTATTATCATCCCATCTGTGATGCGTGCGTTCGTCGAACAGAACAGAAATGTATCGATAGCGCGTAGAATCGATAATCAGTTAGAGTAACAGTATAACTTGTGCAATAGCGAGCTCTGAGCAGTTTTCCCACCAAAGCCGACCCCATGAGCGCACCACACTTTGGTCTCTCCATGTGGGACATGGCGTGAAGCAGACTTACAGTACAACGTCAGCTGAATAAGCGTGAACGCCCAATCAGGCCCCGCACCCCCCCGGCGGCAAACTAGTTCTTTCGAGATCTCACCAACTGTTTTCGCTAAGTCGCAGTTTACGCATGTGCACAGCCATGGAAACAAGTATATTTCACCACTCGCACAGGCTATAGTATTTCAAACTCGACACAGACTCTGCACGTAAGTAATCCTTGTCCTTTTCCTACGTGCATTCGCCTGAGGTGCGGTTTTTAATGTAAAAGCAGTTCGTGAAATCGATTTTCAAAAGATTACCGAAAGAAGCAACGGCGCTATCGCAAGATAGGAGGGCACTGTGGTGGCAATGCTTTCAAAACCGCGCGAAACATCTTTTTTGGATCGGGGGAGTAAGACTCACGCGAGGAACGAGACTCCAGGGTGCGTGAGCAATTTTCATTTTCCCCAAAATTTCCTGCTCCCTCCTAGGCTAAGCCTAGAGAATGCAACCCGATAGGCGCATTCATGGTCGGTCGTGCGATCGTAACGATCGTAACGATCGCACAGCATTGGATGCGTATCGTCAGAGCGTCCGAGGACTGGACGATCGATACGTATTTTACGCTGTGCGATCGTTACGCTCAGACGACCGACTATTAATGCGCCCTTTGTGATAGCGCCGAAGCAAGCTACTATTTGTCCCTCGAGCTTACGCGACCCCCGATGCGATTGTCATCTCTGTTTTCACTGTGAATAGAAATTCTGAATAATGTGTAAAATGCACGGCGTAATCACCCAACCAAGCCTCAATACATTCATTTTCAACAAAATTTCATTAAAAATCACCGAAATAGACATTGCTCGAAATTTTCAATAACAAAACTAACAGCAACCTACAACAATGAGATTATGGTTGAGTGGTCAATCGACCGCTCGCTGCCCGTTTAGAGTAAGGATATATTACAAGCTTCACGAATGCACCGTTGGAAATGAACTTATTGATGATGTGAGAATATTATCATAGTGGAGACAACCGTCTTATGGAGCGTTCAGAGTTGGCGATCGCACGTGCGATTAGGCGAGTAGGCGATTAGGCGGGGAAGACCACATACGTATTGATTGGTTTGCTCCGCCCATAGAGCGTTGTAGGCGAGTAGGCGATTAGGCGATTAGGCGATCGCTCAATGGGCGGAGCAACAAATCAATACGTATCCTTCTCTTATCGCCTACTCGCCTACTCGCCTAATCGCCTAATCGCCTAATCGATACGTATACTTTTCTTTTGAATCATCGCCTAATCGCACGTACGATCGCCAACTATGAACGCTCCATTAGCCTTTACTCAAGTAACTCAACTTTAAGGCACGTTTCACGCTAGAGGGGTATCGGCAGTGGATTTCAGATATACAACGGTGGGCGATAAGCTCACAGGAGAAAACAAAGCAAAAGAAACTGGATGAATGTCTCAGAAACGTCTTTTTTGTAGTTCTGATCTCTGCACAAGCATATGGCAGAAAATATTGGGCGCCCGGACGAGAGACCAGACGACAAAGAGACGAGATAGCAGGCAGACGAGCAAGACAGCGGTCAGCGAAAGTGGCTCCTAACGCCTTTGATAGGCAGTTCTGTTCCACAGTACCAACATAATCTCTACGTTACTGGAATAGTCCACCTTTCGAATTGTTCCACTCAAGCGGTCATGGAATGACTCTTTGAAGATGATTTCATAGAACAATGGTCAGACGAGTTTCCAATCAAAATGACCACCATAACGATCATCGATGGCTGCAAATTGAGGCTGAGGCAATGTCATCACGTTCGTCCATATCGCCGCGCTGAAAGGAAGTGACGATTGAAAAGGCATTCGGATATCGATTTTTCGCGCGTTCAATCAATATAAACTGACATCCAACCTCAAACAAAGCGTTCTAGAATGCGGAAAAAAACCCTCAGGAAGAAGTAAAATGGCCTAATTTACACAACTTTGTGACTACTATAATCAGATATTGCGGGTTTAGGTATCGATTTGCTGCGAGAGCGTGGGGTACAAACGAAATCTTAGGTATCTTCATCACAAACACTTGCGCAAGGGGCACGTCCTGCTTAAGAGTGGCGAAACACGTGAGTCCCAAGCGCTGGAGTGCGCTGACGCTTCGCGACTCAAAAGTGCTAGGGTACGGCCTAAGGCTTTGCCTTCGCGTGTGCTGCAGTCGGTGCCACATATCATCGCAGCATACCGTGGGTGCTTGCGCTTCTTGAGTTACGACGTACTCTCTCGCGTTTCACTCTTCTCGCACGTACGTCTCTCCGGCATACCATGGCGGCGGCTATTTGGAAATTAATGTTTCCACAGCTGCTTTAGTTTTCACTCCCTCCTCATGATGTTATTTTGTAGGTACTTCCTTTGCTTTGCGCGTTTCAATGTCCTAATGTGATGAGATAGTGCGAACGTGGACAAGTGCCGCAAAGCGTCAGTATACAAAACTGACGTCATGTGTTTATGCGTGTATCGTGTCCTCTTATCGATCCTGACTAAACGATGAGCTCGTAGACACCAACTGCGCGCTAAGCACAATGCGTCAGCTGTATATTGGCGCTTGTCGCCTTTTCCGTATCTTTCAACCACGTGCGCATTCCACACATTTCAGATCGGCGCGAAGTATAACAGTAACCTTAGCGTCCGCAGTTTTAAAAACCAACTCACGTCGTGATAGTAAAGCGCTAGTTCCTGCAACACATACTTCTCAAACACAAAACGCTCCAGCCTGCCTACATTGTGCACGAGCCTTGTTCAGATATTGATAACAGTTCATAAACAGTGAATATATTTCACTTTAACCTGAACGATTACAACCGAAACATTGTTTACCGTTCCTATTTCCCGTATGGCAGTGAGCTTCGGCAAGAGCGATGGACAGAATGGCATTCTCAAGAATCGAGCAGCTATTTGTGATATCTTTACGGCTGTCGAGCAAGCTTTTCTTCGCCATTTCATAATCACCGCTCATTCATCTGCAACTATTAGAGTAAGAAGTCAAATAATGAATAAGTACTGAGCGTAGCCGGCTCTAAACTTCCTACCGATGTGAGCGTTTACTCCAACCTTCCGCTGGTGAATTAGCCGCTCCCTCGCGGTGATTTTGCGTCATAAAACACCACCGCGACTTCCCAGCGACCAAATACCGCGAAATTTGTCGCAGGGCGAGCGATCAACATGCGAAGGCGAGAACAAATGCTGCACGATTTATTCTACTGTAGATACGTACTGGGCGTAGGAAGAGTGTAGACATGGCGTATGAAGTGGAATTATGGGGGAGTACCCAGTTAGACATGTTCTATTTGTATTTTAATAAAATAAAGGATAAAGCATTTGCCGTTGATCAATCCCTTTTTGGGATGCGGCACGCATTCTACTTCCATTTGTACATTCGCAGTGGCGTTTGAATGCGATGTGGCCTATACAATGACTTGCGGGGGCCAGCCGATGTACAAGTCAGTGTTTTTATCCTCCCAGACAAGTCTGGTACCAATTAACCGACCCCGGAGGGATGGAAGGCTTGGTTGGCCCGGGCGACTCACGACCCAGGATTTGATCCCCGGACCGCTCGCGTGGTGAGCGCGCCACTTGTCACTACACCACTTCCGCCCATTTTATTATTACAAGCGATTTTACAGTAATGTTAGAACCTGTCAACCATTTGTTTTGCCTGCCTACACTCTCGCCGCAGACGATACCCTCTACCACCACAAGCCATGGCACCTTCACAAAAGCTTCTCCACAAATAGGGCGGCCACCTTTTGGGCCGCTATGGGCGAGTCCTCCGCTGCAAATGTGCCACTTCTCAATCCATTAAAAAGCTAGCCTCTCTTCATGGCAGCAGAATTCCCATCTTCCATCCAATATACCGAACCACCTGTTACTGAACCACGAACAGGGCTGCCTGTCCTGTGAATGCTGGGAAATAGGCGCCAGCACTGAGATACGTGTTAACTGATTTTGTAGAACTGGGGTTTGCTGACAGAAGAGAAAGTGAGGACTACAGTGATTGGTTGATTGTACTCGTTAAGCTAGGTGTATCCACGCGCTTCGACGGAGGTCGATGCTTTGGAGTAAACCCTATATATTGCAGTAGCAGGAGCGGGAATCGGCGAGAAGATCCGACCACGTAACGGCGACGATCAAGGACGCTGCATTTGTCGCAGGGATTGAAGAACCAAGGTGGCCGAGAATGTATTGCGATTCTGCCATGACCGCTGCCCAGGATACGATTGGGTCCACTCGCCGGACGGTCAAACGAACACCTGGACGACCGCCGGCCCGATGGTCAGACTTCTTCACGAAAGCTCTGAACGAAAGGAATGAAACACCGTGTCCCTCGAGCGAGGAGGGTCCACTGGACAACTCTTGCACGCGACAGGGACGAATGGAGACGTTGCTGGCGCCCGCTCGAGCAATTCGATGATCAACGGGACGACAGGTGATACAGGTGATAGTGCCAGATGGAGAAATGTGTAGTTGTATGGTGAAAGCACACTTTTTGGAAGGAACTTCATTTTAATAGAAGTATGAAGAGGTTTTATTGAATGCTTTATAGCCATGTCGTTTGCAATGGGGAAAACGTTCGAATTTCAGTGAGAGCCTGAACGTCGCGGTGTCGGAGGTCTCGTACAGGAGCGAATCTCATGCGTGAATCTGTATTAACTAGGATAGGATTTACTCATTAAAACAGAGTTGGAAGGTTGACCAAGATCAAAAGGTGAAGAGTAACTTTGACACTGTTCACCAACTTTAGCTAATGTCCATGGACCAATTCGATTATCTTTCTGAGCTTCGCTCTTCTCAACTGTGAGAATAAGAAACTGCGCAGACTGCGGGGAAAAGAGTAGCGGCAAGAGATGCTTTCCACCATTGAGTTGAGATTAATTACATCGCCTTGCGGATCTCGTGAATCAACATGTGGAAATGGCGAAACTGAAGCCACACATTCTGTACTTCTTTGGAAGCCTCTAGGGTCACCTGAAGCGGGCATTTATACCTGCGCGGGCCATCAAATGTACAGTTCAAAAGCAACTATCTTTACACAAAAGTATGACACCACCATCTAGCTTCGGGAGATGAAACAAGGACACCTCTGGCGACGACCTAATATCGGATATGTGAATTCCTCCCCACTCCGCTTCAGTTGGATGGTGTCAACGAAGTGGTCGAGCCTGGATCTACCTAGGGCACGCATCCAACGTCGCCCCAAAATTCAAATACTCTCATGGCAAAGACTTGAGGGCTAGGCGAATTATGCTGTCGTTCTCGTATAACTTCGTATAATGTATGCTATAGTTAAGGGCGTGTTTCGCGCGCACGCAATCGGAGGTAGTTTCGTGAGAAAGGGATGAATTCATCTCGGACCCGTGCGAGCTGGGCTTGTTCTTAGCCCAGATTCGGGGAGCATTATGTAACAGAAAGGATTAGATATACTTTGTAGTACCGCACAAGAATTTAGTCGAGAAAAGTCCACCCTTGTCTTTCCCTCGTCCTCCTGCCACGGCTCTTCCCACCTTCCTTTCCACAGTTACATTCGAATAGACGGCCATAGACCGAGTGGAGGGCTCGGGTGATTCAGCGCGCGCAATCAGAACCCCAACCGGTTAGCGCGTGGTAGGCGAGACGACTTGCTGGAGTCTGAATGTCAGGAAAAATTATAAAACCACTGGGCTTGTAGATTACCTGGACCACACCAATCCTTCGTAGAGCCATTGCGGCGATGTTCCGTTGTTCAACTCCAACAGCTTCTTCACGCACGCCTTGCAGCATTTCGATGGCGGCACTCCAACGGCACTCCGCACTCAACAACATTGCTAACTGCAGTCGAAGTCTGAAGTTCTGGATAAGACCATGCCAGTGAAGTGAAAAAAAAGGAAAATGAAATAATTATGGTCATTGCCTCATATGCATGAACACTCGCTGGGCAGTCTCATATTTAGCTATGTGAACCGATTCCAGGAGATTTCGTGCAGCAGAGAGCTCATTTTGTGCCGCTAGAAGTATTGCTTTCCTAAAAGATTACATAAAGAGAAGTCCGAAATATATTAAGACTCAACAAAGAAGTACGGTAGATCCATAGTGCGACCGTTGGGGCGCGCTCACCATGAGGGCAGTGGATGGGCAGTTCCTTAGCCACAAAGGCGGCGCGAGGCAGTATGTAGGTATAGCTGCTCCTATACTTGGCGAAAAGTGACGCCGCCCAGTGAGATTTGCAAGTGTGAGTGTTTGGTCTAAGAGAGAGGAGCGATGGGCCGGAGGAAAAAAGAGCAGAAGAATTAGAGGCTGTTACGCGAGTCTCTTCACTCCGCCACCTTTTTTGAACCTGGGAGCGTCAGAGGCTGCAGTAGGACTTTTTTGGGGATCAGCACGATAGATTCTTAAATGACTCTCGTCGAAGATGCTTACCGTAATGCTGCTTCAGCAGCATCCAGTGTTTCAATATCCTCCAAAACTGGCGTGCACTTATCCCATTGCCCACGTAAAATCGTTGTGTCAAACAGGATGATTCTATCACAGAGATTCACATATTGCGCAGCCTGAAATGACTACTGTCTAGTGCAGGAGAGAGGCACCGACTTAACACAATATGGTGAGCGCGCGGTTGTAGAGCGGTCGCCTGAACTCGATTAAGTCCACAGTCCTTCTACGAGCGCATTATGTACTGAGAACACTATTATTGTCGCGCGGGCGACGGTCAATTCAATCGTCGGCTAATGAGGTCACGCCGCTCACGCGGCGAGAATCGTCGCGTGCGGCAGTTGGTGCGGCGATTTCTGTGTGGACCTTTTCTTTAGCCATCCATGTCCATAAGTTGGCTAGGTGACTGATAAGACCAGAGTGCTGGACAAGAAACTGCATTTCAAGAGGTTAGGTGATTCCTATTCCATGTTTCATGACTGAAAACTTCATCTAATCTTACATTCCCCAATGTTTGGATGCTGAGTTCTTTGCAAATTCGCCGCGATATGCTGGCTGCGGCGGCGCGGCGACCTACTTACTGCCACGATTGAATAGTCACGCACCCTCGTCGCGCAGGTGATCGAGCGGGTAACGCGCGTAAAAGTTATGGTTAACCCTTTGACGACAATGGCACCCACCGGTGGGTGCCACTATGTTCGCCGCGTGGGACAATGGCACCCAATGGTGGGTGCCACCTTAAAATTTCCTTCTTTGTGCATTTAAAACATTTGTAACACCCCAATAATTATAAGCAAGTTCCATAATATCTATGCTAGCACGGCTTACAGAAATGTTTATTAAGAGCTAATTTATATAGAATTTTAGAATGTGCCATTTAGCTCGCCAGCATATTAATTGGGGTTTTGCATTATTAGGCGAAGATTAATTACTAATCAGGACTTCTTCGTCTTCTCATAGCCCTCAGATATGGGAAGGGGTTTGAAGTGTATCGAAAATTCTCTTGGACACTTAAACTTTTAGAGGTTTTGCCCTCCTTCCCTTTGAAACCCGAGTTCCCCTTCCAAATTTGGAATTCTCTTGAAAACAATATACAGTATGAAAGCCTAGAACTGCAGTTATACTGGTATACTGTTAAAGTCAAAAATTCTATAGAAAACTGCTTTGAGGGACAATTTTGCCCAATTGTGAGCGAGAGTTGGGCGCGCCAAAAAGAGGCGTGGTCCCATGAGCAAGCTACGTGCAAATCCGCATTGTCGTCAAAGGGTTAAGCAACACAAATGAGATATCCCTAAGCGCGCTTAAAGGAGGATTCCATGACAAGGATTGGAGGGCAAAGAAAGGGAAGTTACCTAATTTAAAGGTCGGGTTCTGGGCGATGCGCAGCGAACGGCATGCCCCTGGCGGCCTGGCAGAGCCATATCCGCGCCGCTCGCACCGCGGCACGCCCACCTCTCGCCGTCTGACTCTAGCCGTTCAGCAGAGAGAGCGTTAGCGTTGAAGAGGGCAGCACCGATGAGAGTCGCATCAATG